CACTTTTTTAATTGGATTCTTTAGAAACTTTTTTAACACTATCCGTGACGGCCTATTTTTATTTTCTCAATGATGGGGGGGGGGGCTTTCTGGTCCCTCCTTTTTTTTAATATCTAATATTTTTACATGCTGCTAGTGAGAGAACATGTTGTTAAAATATTTGAATCCCACCACTGCTTACAACTCTTATAACGCAGAGTTGTTACAGAATTGATTTTTTATTGTTTAGAAATTAGAATTATCGTGAGAAAGATGGTTTTCGTATTGTTGATGTTTACAATAAGTGAAAAATGCAAGTGGTATGACTTATCTCGGCCAAAGTTTCGCCTGCATCAGGGCTAGTAGTACAATAACAATTACTGTTCTACCAGTTCTGGCCAAAGCGAAACGTTGGCTGAAATAAAAGATTTCTTTTATTATATATTTACCAATGCTACGATGTTTCCTTAGTCCAGTGGCTCAGCGGTAAGTCTGAAGGCTTATAACACTGGAAGTCGGATTTCGATACCCGTGGTGGGCATAGCACAGAGAGTCTCTTGTAAAGATTTGTATTTAACTACAAACAATAATAATATTATAATCACACTAATTAAAAAGTTTATACGTTTTTTTTAAAACATCAATCATATTACTAGTTTTGAAATCGCTGGATTATAAAGTCACTTAGCTAATCATTACAGAATATATTAACATTATTTTAACTTTGTTTGACTTAGGCTACTTATAGACTATATGATCGACACTGATTAATCCAAAATACTATAGTATAGTTGCAGTCGCTTCTTTTATATAAAAAGTGCCGAAAATCTGGTTCAGTATCACACAGCTAAGTTTTAAAAAGTTAACTATTATATTATCATTGTAAAAATGAAACGTTGTGGTATTTTCAATGAAAACTGATTTCCCGACAAGTATCAACAGAATCTAACCATGAAAAAGGACGCGAGACTTCTTCTGATTAAATATACTTGAACTGAGTGTTCGTTTTGTGTTAAAGTGAACAGGCTGGTCAAACTTTTCGTAAAACAAACAAATATATTTTTTCACGAAAAAAGAAAAACAATTCGGAACGCATAACCATGTACTACAACACAGAGTCCTCATTCCAAGATATGTAGTGGTTAGTCTTGAAGTCTTCCTTCTCGCAAGATAGATTACCCCGACACTAAACGAACTATAAAAGGTCTGTCTACAAAAACTAGAAACAAAAGTGGTATAAAGAAAACGCCAGGATTCCAAAATTAACTTGCTTTCTTCGTCCAGCAAACAGTGTGACCTCTGTCAGGGCTGGTCAGCTATCAGATTCAGTTGACGTCATACTTCAGCCAGCAAAGGATATTCCAGTTCTAACTAGTTTTAATCTAAGCTCAGTACATCTCTGACAACAAAATATGTCATTTAAAAAAACAAGGGGTTGTGGTGTCTAGAAAAATATATCAGACACCTTGGACCAGATGTTGCTACCATGACAGTCAGGAAACTAAATAATCAATAACTTAGAGAAAAAAACAACAACAAAAAACATTATAGATGGTATGAGACATGGTAGCCTGCATACCATAACAGTACTGCAGTTAGTGTGAAAAAGTTAAACGTTGTTACTTGTTAAAACGATAATACTATCTTAAGTGCTGTCATGTGTACTAGTCATCACAGGGTATGATGATTATAATTCAAATTATTATTATTATTAAAATTATAATTGTACTGCTCTAGAGTTGTTAGCTCATCTTCAGACTCGCTTGGATTGTCTTTTTGGTTCCCAATGGATACCCACTGACTAAGCTGGTTTTGTGACTCAGTTAGTCACTTCAGATGCAGATAAAGAAGACTTCTTTATCTCCAGAAACATGCCCAGTCATTAGTTATTATTGGTCCTCTCATCTGAGAACCTTCAATTACAGATGTAGAAAAATACATTGCACTCTGACCCTACTTGCCTGTCATGCCACCATCTGTGGGCACACCTGAGAATGTGAATAGCTTCACAGGTACTTACATTTTGCTTAGCCCCCTTTATGTATTGTTTAAAGGTGTCTAGGACGATGATGATGATGTACCTTACTGAGAAGTTTTTTTACTATGTGTCCTCTCTTTGTTCCAATCTCTTATGAGACTACCTGTTCCACTTGATTCTATCATGATTCCACTCCATTGACTTCCATTGGTTCTGGATTTTTTCAAACTCTGCAGGACCACATCTTCTACTTGTTGTGTTCTAGGTAGTTACCTTCCTGCTTAAGAGATGTTTTTGATGAATCACTGTCTTTATGCCTTTCCCCATTTCTCAACTCAATCTCAACATGGGTTTCCTGGCCTTTAGCATTTCAGAGGTAAGCCTACCAGATTTGAATTTTATCTTTTTAGAAATAAAATTAATTTCAAACAGGCACTTATCTCTGAAATACATTCCTATCCACCTCCCCACAACCAGGAGATGCATGGTTTTCCCATCAAGACTACAGATCAGAAATCTGGATTATAGCAGGAAGAAAGAGTTTATATATGTCCTCCTGATGCATGCAAAACAAGTAGAAGGTAAAAGAGTAGAGAACTCTGGATAAATTGATGCATTCCCTGCATTCAAATCCTTAAATCATATGGGTGTTGACAGCAAGAGAGTAAATTCAACAAGGAAACGCTTTTAAAGGTTCATTTTTTGTTTGTTGCCAATTGGCCAACTGATCTATCAGGCATCAATCAGTGTTTTTTTGTGTCAGAATCTTGAGGATTGCTGTTATATTTAAAACAGTGTTGGGGGCCTGAAAGAGCATAATTTACAGATTTTAGCTGATCTAACACATAGAGTTTCCTAAACTTTGATTTGACTACATTTTTACCAGGCTTTCATTAGACTTCCACTCAGTGTTTCTGAAATATTCATTTCTACTTGGAAACTCTAACTAATGTTTTTTCTTTCAATTGCCAATAACAGATTTGCATATTTTTATGTAGTTTTACTTTCTAAGAACTCAAGTTCTCTTGTTACTTTAAAGTAACTTTTCATTTTCATTTGTGTGGGTACCAGTTGGCTTTTGTCTATAATTTAGATAAGTATTTGTTTAAGTTTGCCAGTGAGTAAATAGTGTATAACTAGCCTCATAAGATAGTGGAACCTAGGTTTTCATTTGAGGTACACATTGTTATTATTATTATTGTTAGTTGGTAAGGTTTAGTCAAGAGTTAAATTATTGTGTTACAATTTAACTTAGAGAGACCCTCTGTTTGTAATTCTTATATTTTTATATTCTAGCCTAAGATACTAGAGGGCAGGGAAGAGAACATGCACTAACAAGAGAATATTATTGAATTAGTCTTTGTTGCTCTTGCTATTCTCACACACACATACTTTCGTTTCTAAGAAGCACATAAACACATGATCACTTGCCTTGTACTGTACAGTAGTGCTTTGTTGTTTTTGTGTAAATGGTAAAGATTTCAATTAAACATTAGTTCCTTTTGTACATCTGCATGTCCTGTCTCATTCTTTGTGCCGAAACTGTCACACATTCGATATGAGACCTGGAAACCTCTTGTTTCTGTAGACCTAGACCTCTCTGCTTTGCCAGAAATCCTCAAGATACATCAATGATGATGGAATTAATTTGTTTAAAAACATCTTAAGATTGTTAAACATGTTTTCCTAGTTTGCTGTTATTCTTGTCTTTGGTATTTTAGAGGTAAGTACCTGTTTGAAATTAATTTCAATTCTAAATATGATGAGGTTAGAAAACTCATTAAGTTAAACTTAAAAAAATTCTTCAGCAACATCAGTCATGAACAGACCTAAAAATACCAAGGGGAAAGACCCCAGAACGTGTGTGATTGTAATAAGAAAAACACAATTTCAGTTCAAGATTAGTTATCATATCCATAAATTTTCACAAAAGTCCTTAAATAATAAAATGTTTGTGAATAAGTAAATGTGTCCTCTAACCTATATATTTTCATATAGTTAAGTTCTTGAATGAGTAAGTATAGATCAAAATTAGCAATATGAATAACAAAGCTTATTTGATGTACACTTAAGTTTTTTTCAGTATGTCTCTTATTACAGTTCTGGCAAGTGGACTTCAAAATTATTTTTCAGTAGTACCATACTACACATTCAAGTAAATATTAATTATCAATAAAAATATTCAGATTATAAATTACTGTAAGTTGTTTTAACACTATACCTTTCTTGAACAAAACACATGAAATAGCAGGGTATTTTATTTTTCAACACTAAAAGAGACATTTGTCTTTAGGACATGAGCAAATATATGTTTCTGATGATCAAACACCAAATTGATTTATATAAGAAATGTGGAATACCATTTTTGTTTAAATATGTGAATTGAAAGGAAAACATAAATTCCCTTATTTCACAAAGAACAAATATTGTATTTTATATTTATGGCAAAAGTACTAAGGCAATTAGTGAGAAGCACCCTGACATTCATGCTAGGGATTGACTCACAGCTTAAAGTGCAGGGAATATTTTGTGGTATCACATGGACTTGAATATGGCTCACAAGCTCTAAAATCTAGAGCTCTACCAAAGGGTCATCCCATGCCTCTGATGGCACAAGCTATAGGCCCAAGATAAAAACAGCAATTAAATGAATTCTATAAAATAAAGAGGGTGCACACAACTCGCATTGTAAAGTACAAATATAAAAATAAAAAAAAGAACAACATACTAGAAAAGGTACTGAACTAATATAATAGTGATACAAAATTCACTGTCAAACACTTAAGAAAATAAAAGATAAGCTTATATGGCACCCACTATTGGTTTTTTTGTACTTCATATCAACACATTTTCCTCAAAGTAAAAACTAAGTGCTTGGGATTCTTATTTTCAGCATCACACTTAAGAGTCGTATACTTTTTGTTGTGTTGTGTTAAAATAGTGGTTAATTAGGTAGTTATTCTAAAAATTATGGTTCAAAAATATTTAACAATAAATAAGCTATAAAGTTTGAAGGGCCATCTTATCTTAGCAAACAGATATTAAATTTTAAAATGACAGATTTGCCCTCAGGAGGTACATGCATCTTTGGAAGTAATTAGGCTTAAAATTAAATTTATTGCAAAAGAAAGCTACTACAAATTAATTCTTGGTAGATTAATACATATGAAGCAATATTTAATTTGCCTTCAAACTCAATACAGGAAGATGGAACAAACCCTTTGGTGGATCTAAAGGCAGATGACACAAACACTTGGTGGATCAAAATTACATTTCATGCTTTTAAATTTTTTTATTGTAACTTTATATTTTTTTTGGTGTATTTAAAATTGTTAATTCTGTCTTCTACATTTTCTAGAATTGGTATTTATTGTTTTATAAAATTCCATCACATACTACAATGTTAAAAAGTATATTTTTGCCTCTTTCACTCAATTCTGTGCCAGACTTACCATTGGGAATGGAAGTACTCCAGTCTGTGTTCTTTTGTCACCTATACCTGGCTAGGAGGTATTTCTACCTACTCAATTTTATTTTTATGTGTGCCAAACTTACCATTATTATTTGACATACTCCAGGTCAATTGTTTCTTCACTTGCACAATATTAACACTAATACTGGAAGTACTCCAGTTCTTCTTTAGTCTTTTCTGTGTCCCTACAATATTCCTTATGAATATGATACTATAGTGTTAGATACAGATGAGAACATGTAAATTAGTCTACCATTCTGGAGATAGGTACATTAAACTGACATTGCACTAATAATAGTTTAATGTTAAAAACACTGGTATAAAAAATTAAGAGGTAAACATGCAGCTCCTTTATAAGAAACAACTCTACTCTGAATGCATATTGTTATGTATAATCCTAATTCATAAAAGTCTAACATTATCATTATGAAAGCAAACTTCTATTCAGTTATATGCTCTTTTGTTAGAACTAAGATTTAAATTGGCCAATAATAACATACCATGCATAGGTTCACTTTGTTCCTTAGACTGGTGTCTGGAATCTACATAATGGGCCTATTTCTCTGGAGCCTTTCTGTAATTATATAAAAGAAATGTATAACTTCTTTATTTAAAAAATTTCAACACACTGTAACTTACATTATAATTGTTTTTTTTTGTGTCTTTAACTACTCTAAATACATTAAATTTTTTGTAAAAAAAAACACATTAAGAATGAAATTAACAAAATATTGAGATAAAAGTTTAAACAGAAGGCAATTTGAAATATTTAATACAACTGGGTAATACTATAAAGTCTGGAAACAACTTTAAATGATAATGAAGAAAACTTTTATCACTGTCAGATGATGACAAAACTTTGTGCATTTGTTAAATTAGAACAGTTTTACTTCATTACCCATTCATGCTGTCTTTAAACCTTAAAAGTGGATTCCTCTCCATCATATAAGAATATTATATACAAGATGCCATATTTTGTTTAAGTTAATACTCTGAACACTGATTATGGTAGATTGCTTTTTCATTATTTTTCATACATGTAGAAGCATACCAATATTCATAGTTTTACAATTGATAAACTTTTCCAATATGAAAACCATGAACTTATTTGTGGCAAATTGCATTGACAGAAACAGTGTTAGAACTGAAAAGTGTGTGATTTCAATATTAATTACAAATCACCCAAATAATGATGTGCGAGATTTTTGTACTAAAAAGTTTAAATATTATTCCATAATTGTTTACAATATACTCTATATTACAATCAATTTGTAAGTTAAATGTAGCATACACTAAAAGTGTTAATAAATATACATGAAGTGACACAAATTATCAGTGTATATTAAACAAAAACATACTTACGATTTTTCAAAATTACATTACTATTAAAATTTCTAATAAATAATCTTAATGTTTTAAGTTAAAGATGAAAATTAACTTTCAAAAACTTGCAAAGAAAAAGTCGATGAGAAAATTTAAATGTTTTAAGAAACTGAAAATCTGTGGTCTTGATGTAACTGTCTGACATTTCCATTGTTTAAGAATGTATAATATCCCAAACAGAGAACTGGGTGTTTTAATTGATTAATCAGTTATCTATATACAGCAATAACAATGATTAGTGTCATATATACTGAGAAAGTAATCAAAATTAATGATCCCAATTTCCTAACAATTGATTATACAAAATTTTGATTATACTGACTGTCATGGAAATAATCAAAATCACTGTTTATGATTATTTCAACTATCAAAGTAATCACAATACTTACACCAAACTCTCTTGCCATGTTTTTATTTCTTGTGGCAAAGCTACTAAGACTATCTACCAATGTCACTAGTTTTTAACTACTGACTATAGAGAAGGCAATTGACAAAATATCTGACACCAAATTTTTTTGTTGTCATTGTTGAACTGCTGACTAGATGGATGGAAAATGTCTTGCAGAACCCACAACAATTTTTTTTGTGTTTGAATATCACTGTAATAATCAATTAACTAAACATAATAAATTAACAAGGCTGTCAATTAACCACTTAACAAATACCACTAATCACCAAAATGCAAAGTATTTAAAAATGAATGGGCTTTACAGCTTTACTGCATAAAAGTAAAATATTTTCTATATTCAGAATGAGGTGTATACAGTAATGGAAGACGAAGCAGAATTTTTAAAGTGATACTTGGAGAATTAGTTGTGATATACTGGAAATGATTCTCTTTCTGATATATTATTATTCAGAATTCAAATGAGAAACATAATTCTTTTTTATTCATTCAGCATATGTATATGAATTTTTATTCAATTCACAATTTCAGTCTTTTTTGCCCCTCCCTGAAAAAATTTCTGCAGTCACTCATGCACACTGGTATTTAAACTATATCCAAGATTAATATTGTTCAGTTACAAATTATTCAGAACTAGAATTCCTACCAGTACAGATGAATCTAGCCCAATGATAAAAGAACAACAACAATATAATGGTACCTGTAAATGGTCTAAACTTATCCTTAAAATGCTCAGTTTCCACAAGACCACAAGGTACAAGTATGCTCAAGTAAATGATTTTACATAAAACATAAATCGGCCACTTTTCCTTACTCTTTCATTGCCACATTTTTGGATAATCAACATTTTCACTGCTGTTTATTTTTAAATACACTATAAAAAACAAAAAGGCATATTTAATATTTCATTACTTATCTCAACATTGGAAATGGTAAACGTTTGAAAGTTTAAAGAGAAATAATTTTTTTCATGGTGGTACAAAATCCCAAACTGTTGCATGGTTAATATAACATTTTTCAAGGCTAAAACAAATGTTATTTAGTGTCCCATATATGTGTAACCATGGCAATGAAAAGAGTTCATAAAATTTCAAATTAGGCTTTTGAAATTTCACACTCTCAAGCTTGACTATTAAAATGTTTACCAACAATTGAGACAAACCGCCACACTTTCAAACATCTAAATTTTATTTAGAGTGATATGTCCTATAGAAATTTCTGAAACATTTTCTAAATTGTCAGAAAATTAAATGTTGAATAAAAGTTCATGTGTTATATTTCAGTCAAACTCTAAAAAAGTGTAGATAAATGGAAAAACAAATTACCACAGATAGAAACCCAAGCAGAAAAATCACAAAAACAACAAAAAAGGTACTATACATGTTTATTTTAACACTTGGATAAACTTGAAAATTTTCCTCCTGAACTAAAAAAAAACAACAAGCAAACAAAGTATTGATCATGCTACAGATTTATTTAATTTTCGAACCAAATTATTTTATCTATATTAATTTTAACACATTATACATTTTTATTATTCACACAAAGTGATAAATACACATTTCCAAACAGAAAAAAATTCATAAACTTTCTTAATCACCATTTTTTATATTGTGCATGAATGTTTTAGGAATTAACTATTTCCAATTACTCAGTTAAGTAACAAGTTCTATCAACCTTCTCACATAAGTAATTATTTTTTGTTTGATTTTTATTCTAATTACACTGTATAAGAATAAAACATGAAAGGAAAATAAAAATCTACATACCTATACATAAATATAATTTTCATACTATACTGTTATCCATCTGATCTCAGTGCCTTTACTTATTAAAAAGGAGGAACATGTAAACAGATTCAGCATTGCACTGGTAAAGTGGAGACTCTTTACACATTTAATTTTCAGTCGACTTGATGGAAGATTTTCAGAACCTTTTCACACAAATTATTTAGTCAGCAGAACCTCTATGTGAATGACACCATTTCACTAGGTTTTCTGGAACTTTTAACTGTAGAATCTCACACACACACATGAATGCAACAGACAAAAATACACTTAAATAAACATAGCACTGTACAGGAGTTTATACAGACCTAAATATCAAAGAAGCAGCATCTACCACAACAGCACTTCAGAAGTAAGCTAAACAAAAGTCCCTCTGGATTACAATAAAATAATAGAGAACAATTTTGAACAAGATAGCAAGTACCAATAAAGTTGTCCTATTATTGTGTTCATGCACAAGGCAATAAATATTATACCATTTACAGTGATGATTACTTAGTCATATTCATAAAATCTCATAAATTAACATTTCTATTTATGTCTCAGAGAAACATTCTAAGTAAAAATTAAATAAAACAATTTTGATATAACACAACAGTTTACTCTTTGGAAGCCCTAATGACAAAGAAATTTTATTCACATGATGTATAAGTATGTCCAACAACTGTACTTTTATATATTTAACAACTAAACAGTGCACTTAATCATTCCCTTTGTAGCCATGGCCAGGTACTTTATAAAACTGAGAGATTAATGCAAGGTCCTAAACACAACTTTTAACAGAATTTGTGCACTTATACAAGTTAACACACCAGAAAAAAACTTCTACAGAATAAAAAAAACAAACAAGTATACAGCTTAAAAATTCAATGGTTATTGAATCTCTGACTTTCTGTTTAATATCACTTTATTCAAGTATGGAAGACTTTGAAATAAACATAAATATTTTAAATGAAACCCACAAAGTTTAATGGCCACTTTTAAATAACACAACTGAAAAAAATTTAGAGCCATGTGTCACATAACATGATCATTGTTAACTTTATTAACTGTTTGTTGTTTGGAAGGTTTTCAAGGAAATTATTCTATATTTATATATGTATGAAGTATTGTTAATGCACAGGGAAAAAAACTTATACCATCTTTTAACTTTCAGAGGGACCAGACTGGAAAAATATGATACCTTTCTCAAAAGAATGAAACCACACAATGCCACATAACAGCAAAATGATAACCATTTTTTTTATTAGAAACAAAGATTAAGCCTGCTGAATATTGGGATTTGAATGAATACTCCAAAGCTCTGTTCACGAATCATGTTATAAATTGTATATGCCGCTTTTCAATACCTAATACCAATAAAATACAGAGTATTTTTCCACCCACGAATGTAGAAATAGACAAGTTACCTGGATTTTAGATTACCAAATTAAAACTTCACTTAAAAAAGGTAAACACACAGTGTTAAGTTATTCCTTTTTGCTTTATTTTTCTTTCTTTTTTCTTGAACTTTACAGATTTAATGAATTACTAGTTATTAATTTTACTCTTAACCAACATAATACATTAATATCACCTTCATTTCTCTCTCACTCCTACCGGTATATCCACATCTTTGGTTTCCATACTTCATACTCTACAACATTTAAATTGAAAAAATAGAACAGTTCAATAAAGATTTAGGACACTGAGGATCAGTTAATACCAAATTTTTTACCTCAGACAAAGCCATAAGCAAATTATTTCACTATACAAAAATTATTTACAGCAGGTTACAATTTTAATGAAATATAAATTTAATGAAATGTTGTCTGGCATTTGGACCAACAGTACTGGAAACAGTTATGGAAACACACAAGCACTACATAACAATGAGTATTGGCAACTATATGGTGAATTTATTAATAGTACAAAACATTTAAATAAAAATAGAAAAGTGAATAAGTTTTACATTGAACTAGCATTTTCTAAATGAGCTCTTTACTTCACACACCTTGTGTTCACGCTGCCAATAGACAATTAATTCACTCCCCATAATCCAGCAAAGTTATTTCGTCACCTTACGACCATTTTAAATTTTTTCATAAGCTCATTCAGTCTCAAGAATGTCCACAGCAAAACTTTGTGGAAAGCCAAGCCATGGTTGTTAGTATTCCATCAGCCATTGTACTGTCAAAATGTTGTTTCAATCTATTTGCCTTATGCTTGGGGTCACTGTCTCACGAATTCCTGTATGATGCATTGCCCGTACTTATCAATAGTCAGAATGCTATCAATTTTGTATAGATCACCAACACCATTGGCTGAGATGCATTCTTAAATCTATACTGATCTCCCACCATTCTTCAAGGTAAATTTTGTACCTTGAACCTGACATTGTTCTTCTCATCCACTTCAACCAAACTGTTGTTGATTGTTGATAAACAATTCAAATATGGATTTATCTGTAAAGAGCACATATCTCCAGCTTTGCTCATTCCACTGTTTGTGATCCAATGTCTGTCACAATCTTTTACTTACCTTCAAGAAGTTACACATCCAAAGAGACTACTTCGTGCTAACGTGTGTCCTGAGGTAACATTCATAGCTATATTTACAGTAAGGCTGTTGGCAAGTTATATATTCAGCAACTGTCCCATTGCCCACCTCGTACAGGAAATATGCCAAGATAAGTACCATAACTTTTGGTTTTCTACCTCAACCTCTTCTATCATTCATAGTGCCAGTTTAAAGTTTTCTTTTCAGTCTTGCTGCATTTTCTCATATAGAATATCCTTATTAGCCAAAAACTTTGATTTATACACATTTGTCATGTGGTATTTTAGTCCAGGGAGCTAAGACTAGAATCATACTACTACTATTGGAAATAGTATGACTGCCTGTACTTTTATAGCCTTTATACCGGCGTGACCCTTTCTAATCGGTTAGATGGTAACCAATCATGGTACAAGCTATCAACATATGAATGTACCCTGGTGTAAGTGATTTTCACAAGATAAAAGGGGTAGCACTCCCATACTATCTGTCCCTTTTCACTTTTTTTTTCTCCAGAATTTCCGTACTTATATCCAATGTATATGTCATACAAGATTCAATAATTTACTCAGTTGCAACTTCATCATAATAATTAGTATAAATTACTTACATTGTAACTGCCTTCCAAATGTTCTGAAGTTTTTGACATTAGAAAAAACTTTTAATTCATTGTTTGCCACTGAAACAAAAAACATTTTGTAGCAATATTTTGGGCATTAAACCATGTTACAGGTAGAATACATATGTACCATTATATGAAGCAAATGCTATTAATCTGATTCATTACAAATTGATGTAACAACATTAAATCATATGCTGTGTTTGTAAATATTTTTTTTACAAATGACTGTTAAAAACAGACTTTCAGAATTTCATTTGGCTAGAAAGTTTTCTTTAATGGTGGCTATTATCCAATGACAGATTTGATTATTTCTTTTTTTACATAAATTGTGTGCATTACTGTTACTATACTTCTCTAGACAAAATGAATTGTTCTATATTAATTCTACTTTCCTTTTATCTTAAAAAGTTCCCAGTAAATATTACTTCAAATCAATATTTCTTATAAATGTAATTTTCTAGTTCTTCTGTTATAAAACAGCTTATACAATTTTTATAGCTAGTCAGAACTGATATTTACTTTACAAAAAAAAGCTTCACTGTATCGTTTCAAAAACTTCTTAAAAATTAAAAAGCCATAAAACTATAAACGTTTTTGAAATATAACAATTTTTTTCAATACAAACATACAGTTTAATATTGGAGTCTAATTAGTGATATACAAATAGTAAATTATTCCTTAATTTATTAAAAAACATTATGATCCTGCACAATTTAGTATACACTAAAGAACAGTAAACTTAATTTACTAAACAAGTATTATGAATGTTAAGAAAAAAAGCAGAATTTTATTTTCTATAATACTCATATCAGATTAGAAGTAACAAATGAGATCAGTGTTGATAATCTAGTTACTCGGTCATCACTTTTTAACACAGTCCTCATTAAGTACATACGGTTCCTTTCATCATTTCAGTTTGGAAAATATGGTTGGTTATGAATACAATTATTCACATCATCAGATTAATTGAAGAATTTGTAATATTGACTTTTTACCTTAACTACCAATTGAAAGTATGTTTTTTTTTATATACAAACTTTTCTCATCTCTCCTTACAAGAATCTTAAATGAACAGTAATGTATTGTTGCATCATATTCACCGAGAGCATGCTTAGGTATATTTGATTTTTATTGGTCATCAGATTTCCATGTCATTTTATACATTTTTGACAGCCACCTATCAATATTATGCAAATAACTTCTATAAAAGTTGCCATTTCATTATATGGCAAGGTTATTGATATTATTATTTATTGGTAAAAAGTCCCTAAAAAACTGTAAGGTTGTCACATAAAGTTATTTTCAACTATATTTTACTTGTTTGTGTTATCCACCCTTTTTCCTTCCAGCAATGCAAAGATAAGAAAATACTTATGCCAATAATAAATCAATTTTCTTGTCTGTTATTGGCCACTTTAAAATTTTATTCATCCCAGCAACAAGTGTACTTCAAGGCTATTCTAAGACACCCTGCATAGGGATGCTATGGCCCCTAGGTTGTAAACCATTGGTTTAACAGGACAGCCTTCTTTATGTAATTACCTGGTGATCTTATACTAAAAATATTCCTCTTATATCAATAACTTATCTATAAGGTCTATTTTCATCGTAATATTCAAAAATATATCTATTTAAGAGTTATAATCCACACTATTTAATATAATTATAGCATTTCCCTTATCAGGTTTCATGATATTTTGTAACCTTTAGCTAAAGTTTTTTATGGTTATTAATTCTTTATTAAGAATAGCAAATTTATAATCAGAATTATAACTGATAAAAGAAGATAACAGTTCCAATAGCTACCACACATTTCAGAATCACAAGACTATATTTTATTTTGAAACTTGTAATAGGTAATAAATAATTTTCACATTCAAATTTAAAAGAAGGAATAGCAAATTTTATATTATGGGTATGCTAGTACTTTCTATTGTTTGATTCAAAATGGAATCATGAAAATTAATTATTACAGTATTATGATGATTAATAAAGTACTATTTGTCAGATGTGTTATAAATTAGTTTTCTTTAGTTTTAATTAATATCTTATCATTCTGTCTACTAATTGAATTTATCAACTGTATGTAGTCTACATTATTAACTTCATTTAGAAATAACAGAGCCTTTTCAAATTGTTTCAGTCTTCCTTGATTTACACTATTGAATAATTTCAAAATTCATAAATTATTTTTAATTCTTTGATATTGTTTAAATAGGTAAAAAAAAAGGAAATCTTAAAATTAACAAAATTCCATTATTAATTTTATAATATCTTAAATGTAACTTAGGAGTTACTTATTCTTTCCCTGTTTTAGGCCAATTAATGGTTTTTATGAATACATTTATTTAACTACTTACTCAAGTATGAAAATTAGTGTAATGGGTAATGAAAATATAAAGAATTAACAAAATAATTTGTTGTATTTATCCTAGGTTTACATTTTCTCTTGAGTGAAAGTAACTCAACCTATATTTCATTCGCATGCACTTTGAGCATCACATGTAATACTCATATGAAGCTCTTTTCTAATATCATATGTTGAACCGAAACAACCTGTTTCTATAGCCACGTTCATGGAGATCAGCTGCATAACAAATAAATGTAGCTGTGCATCACATATATCACCAAATTATCATACTGACTGCTGATAACAGTAAGAATACATTTATGTGCACAATGAGAAAAGGTCACATATCATAAAAAGTCTTTCAATTAAAAACTTAAAGCCACAATGCAACGAAACCAGTTCTACAATTAGTATGTTGTTGTAACAAACAGTACAATTATACATAACTCTTCAAAATCATGTCCACCAAAAGCTATCTTTGAGACAACCAAAAAATAGGGAAGTCTCATGGTGCTAGGCCAGGACTATGTTCAGGATAGGGACACAGTCTATCCAAACTTCTCAACTACCGTCATGCGGCAGGGGAATATCTTCCATTTGAATTCTGAATAACCTTCAACATTGCAATAACATACAGTCTTTTCATCATTCTTCATTAACAACTTGATTACAGTATGTTTTTCAAAACCATTGTCACTCACAATTTTAGTTTGGTATTGTGTTGCTATTCTGAAAACATAAGATATCCAGTACTAACACCAGATGGATGTTGATTTATTAACATGATCATTCTCCAGCTGAATCCAACATATAGGAAAAACATCCAAGTTTCTTCCTAAAACTTTTTGGATATTAACCATGTAGTAGTGTTTAAAAATACTGATTAATAAAGGTTGAATTAGGTCAGTTGTAATAAATAATTTATTATGTTGATTAAAATTCTATAAACAGATTGATAAAAACTGTGGATTTTTATACTGAAGTTCATATTTCAATTTTATATTTTATACAAAACATTTTCAGCATTAAAAACATTAAAACACTGTCAGAGGTTTTTGTTTTGTTTAAAAAAATAATGCTTTGCACAAAAAAAAATATATAGATAAATAAAAGCAACATAAAGTGGCTA